GGGCTTCCGAGAAGCCCGGCCGCCCTCTGAGAAGGCCCTCTCCTTCTCACTTCCCCCTTGGGCTCGCCGATGACTCCCTGCCCCCCCCCCCCCGCGCGCCGCCGGCGCGCCGCCGGAGGTGGTGGACGGCCACCTCTTCAGCTTCCTGCCGTCCCTGGAGGGGAAGTGGAGGCCCAGCGCGCGGCGTGTCGTAGCGTGGCGGGGGCACCCTCGACCTGCATCATCTGAACATATTTTATACGATTCGCCATGAGGGAAAGGGGCCCTCAGTCCTGATGGAAGCGGGTCCTGAGTTTTTTCTCCGTTTGAGGCTTCCCGGGGCCTTCAACGACCAAGGATGAAGAATTGGTCCTGGGGGAAGGTCCTGGGTCCAGGGCCCGTTTCCCTCAGGACCCGCTTCCTTCATGCTGCAAATATGTGCGCGTCGGCAGCCTTTGGAGCGACGCGCGAGCTGAGAAATCTGAATAGTATCCAGTTGCATGCGGCAGCCCCCGCCGCCGTGCCTGTGCAACAGCGCAGCAGGAAGGAGGCTGAGTGTAGGAACAGCGCAATTCCGACGAGTAGTCTGCATTGGCGCGGGTCGTGATCTCGTCCGCGCGGAGGAGGAGGAAGAGGAGGAGGAGGAGGAGGAGGAGGAGGAGGAGGAGGAGAAGGAGGAGGAGAGAGAGAGGAGGAGGAGGGAGGAGGAGGAGGAGGAGGAGGAGGAGGAGGAGGAGGAGGAGGAGGAGGGGAGGAGGAGGAGGAGGAGGAGGGAGGGAGGAGGAGGAGGAGGAGGAGGGAGGGAGGAAGAAGAACACGAAGAGAAACACCACGGCTTATAATTTGAGCAATATTCATAAGAATAATGATCCCACTACTATTAATCATTTTTTTCAACTCCGACGAATAAGACGAACGAGACGACGAACACGAATCATACTACTACGAAGCAGCAGCACACCATACGAACACTTATAACACAACATAGTACTAATACTACGAACATGCCGGTTACGAATACGAGTCATGACAGTACTATGAAAACGCATACGAAGAACAATTCGATTCATAATACTAATACTGAAACTGTTAATACAAAGACGACTACGACTATTAAGAAGAAAGCGAATAATAATACGAACACTAATGCTACAAAGAACACGACTACGAATGCCAATACTACTTCGACAACGACTATTACTAATACTATGCTAATACCATTACGACGAGACATGCATATACTTGTGTGAGTACTAATAATAGTAACCCGGGTACGCGTAGTAATAGCATGCGCATTATCAATGTTACGAATGATAGTATTAATTTGATTCATACTCGTAATACAAAGAATAAGAGGAAGAGGAAGAGGAAGAGGATGAGGAGGAGGAGGAGGAGGAGGAGGAGGAGGAGGAAGAGGAGGAGGAGGAGGAGGAGGAGACGGAGCAATAGGAGGAGCAGGAGCAGGAGCAGGAGGAGGAGGAGCAGGAGGAGGAGGAGGAGGCGGAGGAGGAGGGGGAGGAGACGGAGACAACGTAGAGGAGGAGGAAGAGGAGGAGGATGAGGAGGAGGATGAGGAGGATGATGAGGAGGAGGAGGAAGAGGAGGAGAAGGAGGAGGATGAGGAGGAAAAACGAGGAGGAGACGGCTTCATTGGGCCTTCTTGGGGTTTCCTGGGGGCCTCCTTGAAAGCTTCTTGGGTACCTCTTTGGGGGCCTCTTGGGGTCTCTTGGGCCGTCTTAGGGGACTCTTGGCCAGTCTGTCGCCTATGGAGGTCGCCTTGGGGGCCTCTCTAGGCCGCGTTGGTGCCCTCATGGAGCGCGCCAAGGCCGTCTTGAGACCCCCTTGGGGGCCCTTTGGGCGATCTTTTGGTTCCTCTTGGGCCGGCTTGGGGCCCTCTTGGGGGCTTCTTGGAGGCCTCTTGGGGCTTCTCAGGCCGTCTAGGGGACTTGGCCCGCCTGACGCTTATGGAGGCCGCCTTAGGGGCCTTTCTGGGCCGCGTTGGTGCCCTCTTGGGGCGGTCCACTGCCGTCTTGGAGCCCTCTTGAGAGCCTCTTGGGCGATCTTCGAGTCCTCTCGGGCTGACTCGAGGCCCTCTAGGGGGCCTCTTGGGTTGTCGTTGAGCTATCTTGGAGGCCTCTTGGAGGCTTCTTGGCTTGCCTTGGGAGGTCAGAAACCCGAATAGGTGAGAACCGCAACACCTTTCAAACACCTTCGGACAATCACGGGTTTTGGCCTCCTCGGGCTCTCCAGGAGGGCCTCTTTGAGACCTGTTGGGCCGTCTTGGGGGCTGCTTGATCTGTGTTGATGCTGTCTTGGGAGCCTCTTGAGCCGTCTTGGGCCATCTTGGGCCATCTTGGCGTCACCTTGACTGCCTTGAACGCCGTCCTGGAGGCCATGAGGCTCCCAGGCAGGCTTCAAGATATATCAGGAGCCCCCCATGACGGCCCAAGAGGTCTCTAATAGATCCTCCAGGAGAGTCCATGGATGCCCAAATCATTGATTTTCTTTAGATGTTGAGGGATTTTGAGGTTCTGGTATGTTCGGGTTTACGACTGTCCATGACAGCCCAATGGGCCTGTTTGGGCTGTTTTGTTGCTCTCTCGGAGCGGTCACAGCCGTCTTGGGGCCCTCTTTGGGAGACCCTTGTGCGATGCTTGCCTTCTCTTGGGCCGACTTGGGGCCCTCTTGGGGACCTCTTGGGCTGTCTTGGAGCTATCTTGGAGGCCCCTTGGAGACGTCTTGGGCTGTCTTGGGCGGTCGGAAGCCCGAACAGGCGAGAACCCCAAAATCCTTCGAACACCTACGGACAATCAATGGTTTTGGCCTCCTCGGGCTCTGCAAGAAGGCCTCGTGGAGCTCTCTCGGGTCGTCTTGGGGGCCATTTGGGCCGTCTTGAGCCCTCTTGGGCTATCTTGAGCCGTCTGGAGGCTCTCTTGAGAGAGTCTTGGGCCATCTCGAGCCGTTTTGTTGTCGTCTTGGTTGTCTTGGAAGCCGTATTGGAGGCCATCTTGGCCGTCTGGAGGCCGAAAAGACCGCCAGGCAGCGATTTCAGATGGGGCGTTTTTAAGGGGCGCGCGCGCGTCGAGGAGATTCTTGAAACCTTTACAATACCTCCCAGGCAACAGACGAGCATTCTAACACGCCCACTCCGTGCAGGCACGGCGGCGGACACGCTCGGCGGTGGACGCTTTCTGGCCACACTGCCCGGGCAGCGATACGCCATGACATGATGTGCTTGTCCTGTGCGGTGTATGCTCGGCTCGAGCGTGCGCCCCCCCGGGAGGGCGCGTACCTCACCGCCCACCAAAGCACCCCAACCCAACCCGAAGCCCTCAATTTGCCTTTCATTTCCAGTGTATCCGTACCCCCCCCTGGTATCCGTACCCCCCCCCAACCCGAAATTCGTGTCAAATTCGGGTCTTCGGGTTGGGTTGGGGTGGCCTGGTAGGTAGTACCACTGGCATGCCCTCCTGCGTCCCACTCCTCCGTCGAGGGCGCCGGGGGCGGATGCGGAGAGGGCGGGGGACCCCCGGGCTCGGCCTCGGTGAGTGCCGCAGGTCGTCCGCGATCCGGAGGGCGCCGGCGGTGCCCGCCGGTGCCTGCGCCTGGCGCTGGTCGCTGCGACCGCGCAGCCCCTTTTTAGGGGGCGACTCCTGCACTGCTCCACGGTTGGGGCCCGATAGGCTCTCCTCCTCCTTCTTCTTCTTCTCCTCTCGGGCTAGTTTCTCTGTTTTTTCTTCTGGCGCGTAGCGGTCGTTTGTGATCTGGGCCAACCCCTCCCCCCCAGGTAACAGTAACGATCCTATATAGGGCGGGGGCCCCCGCTTCGACGTGCTCCACTCCGCTCAAGCGTTACCGTCACCCGGGTTCCACCCTTTCCCCCTCCCCCGGGTAACCACCGTTACCGGAACAGTATCCTCGCTTCGTCGCCTTGCTTGTGCGCTGGAAGAGAAGCAAGTTTACATGTCACGATAATCTGGGGCCCGCGTTTCGGCCACGTTCGCAGGACAGCCGCTGCTTTGTCTGCACAGGTTAAGGCTTCGCGTGTTGGCTCGCCTACTGCAGGTTGGACCTCGCGAGGTACTCTTTTCTTAATGGAAGGTGGCTCCTGGAGTGGCGAGCCTGGTTTGGTTCTGGCGGCCACATGCGGGCCTCTGAGTGCCAGGTCTGGACCTGCGTGCCATGCGGATCCGAGCAGGACCCACACACTCAGCGCAAATCCTGCGCTATCAAGGTGAGACCCAAGCTCATAAAATGTTGGGATTCGGAGGAGGCGGAGGGAGGAGGAGGAGGAGGAGGAGGAGGAGGAGGAGGAGGAGGAGGAGGAGGAGGAGGAGGAGGCGGAGGGCGGAGGAGGAGGAGGAGGAGAGGAGGAGGAGGAGGAGGAGAGGAGGAGGAGGAGGAGGAGGAGCAGGAGCAGGAGGACCAGGAGGAGGAGGAGCAGGAGCAAATTCGTTCCAGTGCCATCTTTGCGCCGCTTGCCATGACAGCACAGGCATGTGCGCTAGCAGCTCGCGATATATGTGACCGTGCTTGGGCGTTGGCACAGCATGATCGTGATGCGTACACTAACAGGTTGAACCGTCTGCGGCGTAGGCCAGTAGATAGCACGCACGCTGATGATTGGCACGAGCACATTGCACATGCCCTTGCCGCGCTGCAGCTGACGCGGGATCAGTGGCAGGCCGAGGCGTCGGGCGTGTCGCTTTTAACCACTGCCGAGAGGGATGCAGCCAGGACGCGAGCGAATCTGTTCTGGGAGTCCTTTTTGCAATATGAGGATCCGCTCACGCCCAGGCAACTGCAGCATGCCTTTAATGATGAGCACGACTTTCAACCGTCAGCTGGAGCAGACAGCTCGGCAGTACAGACGCCGCCTGTTGCAGAGGCAGTAGGCACTCAGTTGACGGACGATAACGTTTCACTCGGCTCCAGCATGTCATTTGGATACATGGCTGGGCACGCTAGGGCTTCAGGCGTGCAGGAATCTGATACGGAGGACGACCTCTATGCAGATGCAT